TACATTTGGCGCTCTCACTTACAAAGTACACCCAACGTGCAAAAACCCACAACAATGCAAATATTGTTTCTTATTCTCACACATCTCCGACTCATGCAAACTCCCCATGTTATGTCCAAAATGCGGGTCGGACACACACACACACTTGATGAATGTCGCCAACAAAAATACTGCATTCACTGCAACACACCCGGCCACACCGCTACACAAAATACATGTCCCATCAAACAAAAACACATCCTCAGGCTCAACAAACACATCAAAAACACCGACCTGCCAAAACCAGCACGCACATTACTCTCATACAACTCCATCCTCTCAGCTAGCTCATCCTCCCCCTACACTTCCTCCAACCCCAACTCATCATTCTACTCAACCCCCCCCCTCACCTAAACCCACCAAACACCGCTCCACCCAACCAACCACCAAACCTACACGCTCTACCCACCCACCCAAACCAAACCCCCTACCCACACACCCCCTAAACAACCCCTCCTCCCCACACCCATCCCAACTGCCCCACCTAAACAAACACGCCCCAAAACTGCACCCCCCCCAACCCCTACCCACAAATAAAACTCAAGCCCCTCCACCTAAAAAACACCCAGCACCAGCCCACAAACCCACACTAACCCTCACACCACAAAAATTAAACCAAAACTTGTCGAATTTATCATTGCAGCCACACTAATGGAAAAACCAACAGCTAAAAAGCTACATACTCTCACATAAATCCAAACTCTATCACAAAAGCTTGGCCAGTCTCCTCATTGCTCTCAAAACCCCCTTTTAAACAACCAACCTCTAAGCTACTCTAGCACCAAATCCCCATTCTTCCAAATTCATGCCCCACGCCATGGCATTTATTAAAATCCTATTTCTAATTGCAGTAACCATGGCACTTATACAGTGGAACTGCAACAGTCTCCGAGCTCATGGGCATGAGCTCAAGGCACTCATTGCCCAAAACAAAATTTCACCCGATATTATAGCTCTGCAAGAAACAAGTGGAAACCTGACATACAATTGAACTTGTTGCACACAATGACTGACTGACTGAGTTTGGTTTTACGCCGCTTCTAGCAATATTCCAGCAACATCACGGCGGGGGACACCAGAAATGGGCTTCACACTTTGTACCCATGTGGGGATTCGAACCCGGGTCTTCGGGGTGACGAGCCAACGCTTTAACCACTAGGCTACCCCAACGCCCCTGCACACAATGAAGTGGACGTAGATGAAGATTCTTATTTTTTAGCACATGGCATATCTGTGGATCATGATTAACTTGTGTATTAAGTTTGGTGAACCCTAGCATGTATAGTTTCGATGATATGCTGTGGCCGAATCCAGGACAAAATCCACCCGGACAAAATCCACCCCAAAATTGAAACCTAGGACAAAATCCACCCGGACAAAATCCACCCCTAATAATTCCACCCTAAGAAAAAAAAATAATAATGACATGTTTAGTCACAGAAATGAATTTTATTCATATCAATCATTCATAATCGATAACAAAAACAACCAAAATACATATGTAAGCACATTTTTGCATATATAAATATGACAACTGCACATTTCACATTTATGAATCATTCATGCATCAATACATATATAAATATGACAACAGCATATATTTTCACACATTCAGACATATCTATGACTAAACATCTTGCCACATTTCAACAACGCAAACCACGGCCAACGCCGTGGAGAAAGTCCTCGGGTGTCTTTTCCTTCGCTGCGTAGGTCTTGCACAGACCTTCAAGGCGTTCTTGGAGACGTTTGGTGGTTGTTCTGGTTCTTTTTCTTTTACGTAATGATCAAAGTGTGAGACTACTTAATGATACATGAAAGAGGAAAGTAGTGATCAAAATGTGACAAATGGAGAAACCTTTAATGTTTGAAACAACATCTAGGAACAACAGCCAATTAGGAAAACGTAAATGCTATCAAAACAATGCTTGCAATACTTGAGAAAAACAACTTGATCAAAGATCAGGACACACTAAAACTTAGCAATTTGAGAAGGGTTGATATTGTCCATTTTTTTGTTAAGAAGAGGTGGATTTTGTCCGGGGTGGCAATTTTGGGGTGGATTTTGTCCGGTCACCGCTGTGGCCAGGTAACCATCAAACACATTTTGCACCAAGTCGTGTTTCCATGGAAACAACAACAAAACAAATTCTGAAAAAAAATTAAAATAGCAAAAGGCACATCAATGGGTAATGATTAACATGTGTGTGAAGTTTGGTGAACCTAGCATGTAAACTTTAAGAGATATGCTCCGGACAAAACCATCAAACACATTTGACACTAAGTCGTGTTTCCATGGAAACAGCAGTAAAACAAAATTCTGAAAAAAACTTTAAAATAGCAAAAGGCACTGTAACGGGTTGGGGGTGGGGAACGTGGTAGTCAGGATATATTTACCATCCCAACCGTCAGTTTTGAAGATATATGTAAAAACGGATTAAAAGAAAATTCTCACAAATAAATAAAGTCGAAGTACTTTTTAAATATCCATTTATATTTAGCAGATTTAATGTATAAACAATCTCTGAATCAACAACACATGTTTTGATGACGTAATCGCCTGGAGATCGCGGGACAATTCGAGCATATCTCTCGAGCGAATCATAACCATTAAATCTTACGACAAAATACATTAATATGAACTTGTAACTACAATATACATTGTTTTTACACACAATACACGTATGTAATAAGATGTAATCATGTTTTGAGAGGTTAACAAACATGAACACGATCTCGGAAGCGTGAAAAAATACAAAGTCCTCGATCGTTTACGACCTGACAATTACAATAGCCCTGTTTTTTTAAAGAAGAATCGTCCCGAGTTAACATATTTACATTAATACAGCTGTATAATCCTATTTTTTCCTCTCTCTTGCAGTTTGCCCTTACAGTTACAAGGTGAGCATAACAATACAATTCAAACAATACAATTATGCATTTCAGATAAATACATGTTACATAATATCATGTTATGTACATACATTAATAATTCCTTACCTTGTGTTAATTCTTATGCACATTTCATATACTTACACATATCCTGGGAATATGAATATATATCCAAGAAAATATAGATCACCTCTCATTTTTAATGTCACAATGAGGTAACCCAATACTGGTAAGTATGTTCCATGAACATATTGTCTATCATCAGTCTGTACTACAGTTCTTCATCTTTCAAAAACACTCTTGTCCTGCAAACACAGTTCATTAGTCCTTGAATTGCTCCTGCTCTGTACTTTCCAGGTTATGGTGCCGTTGGTTTAATGGTGTCAGAAGTGGGATTCTCTCATTTTACTCAGCTTATTAGTGTAATTATGGATGATTATCAAAATAGTTTTTCTGATAAACTCTATGCAATGGAAGGCCCTGCAACTAGCTTAAGGTTACATACCAAACGTATTATGGATAATCAAAACAGTATCCAGGTCGCGAGAGAATGTCGCAGACCATTGGAAGATGGTGCCACAAGAGAAGATAGCGCCAGGGCTGTTGATCCGAGTAGGTCCTTCAGTGAAGGTGACTTGCAGGGTCATGGCAGGCAGCAACATTTTCAGTGTGATTCGCAGTCGCTTGACTCGAACAGGCAAAAGTACTGCTCACCATCTTTGTATGACAATGTGTCATACAGACCTCTTGGAAGGAATGACCATCCTTCACAGCAAATGGCCAGTCACAATGAGATGAACATGGTTAACATCATGGCACAGCTCTCAAACACAGTTATGAGCTTAGCGGAGCGGGTTAATGCCATGGATGTCAGACAAACTGATTCTAGAGCTACTCCTGTGGCGCGGATATCTTTGCACTTGCCAAAGTTCAGTGGTAAGGGGGATTATGCTGCCTTTGAGGCTCAGTTCAGGAATGTGGCTAGGCAATCACATTGGACTGACCAGCAGTGTGCTGATATGCTAGGATGCGCTCTGGAAGGAGCAGCACAGGTGTTTTATGCCAGGTTACCTGAGCGTAGTTGCTATGACTACCAATGGCTTGCAGATACCCTTCGGAGACGATATGGTAGAAGTTTTCCTGAGGTTAAGCAGGAAGAATTACTAAACCGAAATCGTAACCCTGGGGAGTCAATAGCAGATTTGAGAGATGATGTTTGGCGACTTTTCTAGGAAGCCTATCCTGATCTGGATGATGGCATCCAGGAGAGATTGACGCTAGATGCTCTGAAAAGAGCAGTTGACAAAGATCTCCGTCTCCAGTTCCTTGACCAGAGTGTTTGCACACTACAAGGAGCAGTTGAGCAGTTGCAGAAAGGTATGTGTCTGTATTGGGCAGACCAAACTGTCGAACCACTCACGGGTCTGTGAAAGCCACGGGTCGGAGAAGAAAGTACATTTTGAGTCGCCGGATAGAACTGAGGATAAACTTAATGTTTTTTCGAAACAGCTGGCAGACTTACAAAAAAATGGTTGACAGATTGTCTCAAATGCAAGAAAGTGGTAGTTCTAAAGGGACAAAACAGTTCAATGAGTCAAACTCCTTATGGCAGTCCAGGGCGTACCCTAAATAGGGGCATGCGCAGCTCTCCGAGTCCATCTAGGCATGACAAGAGAGCAAATTCATTTTGTTCAATCTGTCATAGACCAGGACATTGGACATCACAGTGTGTGAGTCAGTCAACTGGTAGAGCAACTCCGCAGCATGCGCAGGGAAATGCCAACCCGCCATCTCGGACTTAGGTCGGGATTTGGCGGATGACAATGTTACATTGAATCCTAAGTTAACAGACTCAAGTGATCAGCTGGAAAAGGAGGTGATTGCAGCAGAGGCACAACCACAAAATTCTCTCACAGCTGATTCTGAGCAAGTTATTGCAATGATGAGACCTTGTTTTAAAATAGGTGATGAAGGCCAGTTAGTTAATATCAAACTGGATAACGCTTACGCTACTTTGTTAGTGGATACTGGTAGCCAAGTGTCTTTGATCTCTCTGAGTTCTTACAAGTGTCTTCCTCGTTCTGTTTTACTGAGTCCTATTACTTTGTCCTTGGAGGCTGTTAATGGAACCTCATTTCCTGTAAAGGGAATATTCAAGGCATTGTTGACTTTAAGTGAAGACATGGAACCTACGCAGGAAGAATTTCTTGTAGCTGAGATTGAGAACTCGTTCGAAGTTGATGGTATTTTGGGAATGGACTTATAAACCTATGGCCAATTTTGTCTATTGTTCTTGCAGTTGCTTCGCATTATGGAATAACCTCGGTAGAGGTTTTACGATTGCAGGATGTTTTACAATGATCATTGTAATACCTCGCAGGAGGTTTTACAATGACCGTTGTAATACCTCATACGAGGTACGAAGTTTTACAATGGTCGTTGTAAAACCTCATACCCTGATGACTGATCGTAAAATATCTAATTATTGAAAATTTCCAATATTCTTTGGCCATAACTGGTTTCGAACCCGCAACCCATCGCTCTCTAGCTTGGGCTTTATCCACTACGCTCTGAAGGATCGCTGTGAGGAATGAGATTGTTTGTCAGTATGAACCATGTGTTTCTCACACACGACAGGTACTGCGGGCAGCGACGTGCAGGACACGGGTAGCGCATGCAGAGCACGAGCATTGTGCCAGTCGCATCCCAGTTGACACCGGCTGTTCCAACATTTGCAGGCTGTTCCATCAATGTTGTTCTACTCAGTACATGCACAAATTGACAATAAGTGTTGTCTTAGGCGGTTTATAAGTTAGATAAAACACTCCTCCTCGGTTTTGGTTGAGATTGTAAAACCTCAGTGTCAGGATTTCCTTCCCCTGAGGTTTTACAATCTCAACCAAAACCTCGGAGTCGTGTTTTATCCTACACATACTCACTGATCTAGGTGCTGTAGTTGATCTTGCAGATCACAGGATCAAGTTACTGGGAGTTTGGTTACCTACTTTTGCAGCTGACAGAGCTGCAGTAGTAGCTGAAGATACCTGTCTTCCACCACAGTCAGGGTCTTATGTTAAACTGTCATTACCCAATAATCAACAGAACAATAATGTTCTTGTAGAGCCATGTAAGGAGATTTTAGCACAATGTGGTCTTCTCACGAGTAACAGTGTTGTGAAAAGGGCAAATACAGCATATGTTAAACTCATTAATGTGACAGACAACCCAATTACTCTGGCTTCTAGTAGAATTTTGGCTCAATGTCAAGGTGTTACTTTGTACTCAAACAAAAACATCAAGAGAATTGCAAAACTTCAGGTAAAAAATGCAGTGATTCCTGATTATCTGAAAGATCTGTATGACAGAAGCAAATCTAATCTTGATGAATCTCAACAGGAGGAATTGAAAAATGTCCTGGGTAGTTATCAGAGTACTTTTGCTAAGAATGATGATAATTTAGGGCGCACTGGGTTGGTAAAGCACACTATCAATACAGGTGATGCGTAAGCAATTAAGCAGGCCCCAAGACGCCAGGCACTTGCAAAACGTGAAGTAGAGCAAAAAGAAGATGCTCGAATGTTGGAGCAAGGTGTGATTATACCCTCTACTAGTCCATGGGCTTCACCAACTGTTTTAGTGCAACGTAGTGATGGCCGTTACAGATTTTGTTGTTACTACCGGTTGTTGAATCTTTCAACTAAAAAAGATTCATACCCTCTACCGAGAATAGAAGACTGTATTGATAGTCTAGGTGGTGCGAAACTGTTCTGCACTATGGACCTACAAGCAGGATATTGGCAGGTAGAGATGGACTCTAAAGATCGTGAAAAGACTGCATTTGTGTGGACTATATGAGTGGACTGTTATGCCATTTGGTCTGTGCAGTGCACCGAGTGTGTTTGAACGGTTGATGGAAACAGTGCTCAGAGGTCTACAATGGGTAGAATGCCTCTGTTTCCTTGATGACATAATTGTCTTTGGAACTAATTTTGAGCAAACTCTCCAACGATTCAAAATGGTCTTAGACAGACTTACAGCAGCTGGATTAAAGCTTAAGCCAAAGAAATGTCACTTGTTTCAGACCAAAGTGAACTTTTTAGGACATGTGATTTCAGCAGATGGAATCCACACACAACCTGAAAAAATTGAGGCTGTAAAAGAATGGCCTACACCAAAATGTCGAAAAGATGTTTTGAGGGATTTGGGTTTGGCAAACTACTACAGGCGGTTTGTTCAAAACTTTTCTAAAATTGCAAGACCCTTAACCAGACTACTAGTGAACTAGTTGAGTTTCAGTGGAGTGAAGAAGCAGACAAAGCTTTTATGAGCTTAAAAGTCGCTCTCACTTCCGCTCCGATTCTTGGTTTTCCTCAACCAGATGGCCAAGTTATTGACACTGATGCTTCAGGTGAAGGACTCGGCGCAGTGTTATCACAAGTACAGGAAGGTGGGGGAAGTTGTTCTGGGATATCTCAGTAAGACTCTCTCTGCAGCTGAGAGGAACTACTGTGTTACCCGACGTGAACTTCTTGCGGTGGTGACTGCTTGCCGGTATTGGCATCCATATGTATTTGGACGGCCTGTCATTATTAGAACTGATAATTCTGCTGTGGTTTGGGCCAAGCTGATTAAGAAACCTGTAAATCAGATGGCCAGGTGGTTGCAAGAGCTAAGCAATTATGACCTACAGGAGATTCATAGACCAGGGCGCATTCATTGGAATGCGGATGCCTTAAGTCGTCGACCTTGTGTACCATGTCCTCAATGCAAACGGGAGAATGGACCTTGCAGCAAACAATGCGCTGGTCTTGATTCATCTCCAAGCTTTTGTGGTACACCCAAGCTGTTCATTTTGAACAACTGTCGCCCGATGAATTGAAAAATCTTTTGTTAGAGGATAATGATATTGCACTCATCTACAAAGCTAGAGCTAATAATATCAAGCCGCAGTGGAAGGAGGTATCTGGAACTTCAAATGCTTGCAAGGCTCTGTGGGGACAATATGATCGATAGTCTATTAGTTATTAGACAAGGGGTACTCCATAGGAGATGGGAGAACAAAGATGGCAGACGATGGCACTGGCAGATTGTCATGCCAACTTGTAAACGTCGCCTTATCCTCACCCAGAATCATGATTCTCCATTAGGAGGCCACCTAGGGGTGGAGAAAACTCTCCAAAAAATCCAACAGTCGTATTATTGGATTGACATGAAAAGAGACATTAGACAACACTGTACTAAGTGTGACAAGTGTACTGCTGGGAAACGACCCTCGAAGCAGAGAGCACCCATGAAGCAGTATGTAACTGGCTCACCTATGGAGCTACTAACAACTGATATTATAGGACCGCTTCGATCGTACACAGTCTGGTAACAAGTACATCTTGGTGGTTACCGATGCATTCACAAAATGGACAGAGGCTTATGCCATGCCAAATATTGAGACGAGAACAGTAGCGAAGAAGATAGTGGAAGAGTGGGTTTGTCGCTTTGGTACACCTGCACTGATACACAGTGACCAGGGCAGACAGTATGAGGCTACTCTCTTCCAAGAACTATGTAAGTTGCTTGGCATTGTGAAGACAAGGACAACAGCTCTGCGACCGCAAGCCAATGGCCAGGTTGAGCGTTTTAACAGTACCTTGAGTGCCATGCTCTGCATATATGCAGATGGGAAACCTAAATCATGGGACAAACATCTTCTGTATGTCATGGCAGCTTACAGATCTTCTAGACACGAGTCTACTGGGTTTACGCCAAATGAACTTACACTGGGCAGAGAAGTACGATTACCAGTCCAACTGATTACTGGGAATCCTAATGAAACGGCTCAGAAACAGGATGACTATGTTGAGGAATTAAGGGAAAGGTTTGTATGCCTTTGAGTCTGCTCGTCGTTGCCTTAAACATTCTTCAGAAATAAGGAAGAAAAGGTATGATGTGGGAACTAAAGAGTTTCGGGCTCAAAGTTGGACAACCAGTGTGGTTATATAATCCTGGGAAGAATCTCCCATCCAGTAGGAAGTTCATTCCTTGCTGGAAGAAGGGATGGGTTGTCATCAAACAGATTGATGATGTGACTTACCGGATACAGGATGGTCCAAATAACTCACCTCGTGTTGTCCATGCCGACAGACTTCTGCCTTATGAGGGAGATGCTCCTCCAACATGGTGGACTTCTCAATAATTCTCACATGTTGATAGCGTACCGTTATTTCCCATGAATCTGAAAACAATTACTTATTTCCCTATATGCTTTGTTTTGCGAGAGTTGAATGTTGCAGTTAAATTGTGGATGTAACAGATCCAAATGAGATCTAAGGAAGGTTTTAGCATGGAAACTGAATGTTAAATGACTTATCTTTTAAATGGTGAAGATTTAAAATTTGGGCTTGCTGTAAGCTTTCTAATCTATTTACTAGATATGGTTGTTAGGTGTGGATTTTACTCTTGTTCTCTCTTACGGAGGCTGATGAAGGATCATAATTCATGAGAGTATCTAGAATAAAGAAAAGGTGATAAGCACTGTTATAAGTTGCAATATCTCTAAAGTGAGTGTTGCTTACTTCTTTGCAGTCGCAACAATGGCTGACATTTTAGATCTTGGAGTGGAAGAAGATGAGGTGATGGATTTGGTGAAGGAAGAACGGGTGGTGAAGGAGGGGGCGCCAGGGATGAAGTTCGTAAAGTTCATTCGGAACATGGACTGCCCTGCCTGTCTGGTTACAAAAACGTTCCCATCAAGACGTGTGTTTGAAGAGCACTGGGCGCAGATGCACCAAAGGGTGCACAAGACATTTGCATGCCCTGTTAAGAGGTGCAAGAGCTCACGTTCCTCAATGAAAGCTCTAAAATATCATGTAGCCCATTCCCATGTCATCACTTCCAATGTTGACAAACTGTGTGCTGAGGTGACCTTGGAGGTGGAAAGAAACGAGAATTTTGTTGACCCTGGGGTCTACTTTTTATCATGGCAAACATGGCGACCCCGGGACAAGAGGGCGGGTAAGAAGGGGAAAGCAGCGAAGTCCTCAACCTCTTGCTCTGCCCTGTCTGCTCATGAGCCACAGGCTGTTCATCAAGAACCAACTGAATCAGATAAACCCACACCTATGCCAACTGTGTCTGATCTGCAGATGGAAATTGCAGCTCTTCGAGAGCGCAACACTATCCTGCAACAGGCCCTTGCTACTCCGCCTGGGGCGCAGTGGCCATCCTGCCAAGACATCCCAACCAGAGACCATATATCGGTATATGGTCTCTGTCCCAACTAACAAACCCCAGCTGGATGAATTCATTGCTAAAGGCTGGGAGGCGATGGCTGCATTGTATATTGTAGTTACAAGTTCATATTAATGTATTTTGTCGTAAGATTTAATGGTTATGATTCGCTCGAGAGATATGTTCGAATTGTCCCGCGATCTCCAGGCGATTACGTCATCAAAACATGTGTTGTTGATTCAGAGATTGTTTATACATTAAATCTGCTAAATATAAATGGAAATTTAAAAAGTACTTACGCAGGCGTGTTCCTGGAGGTGGTAACTGGTAAACTATATCCGTTTAATTTAATGTCACGTCTTATTTGGATGTTAGATCGCATTCTTCTCGCTCTAACGTTCAGCGTCTTCTGCTACATGCATTACCGGAAGTACGATGACGTCATATAGCATACTCTCGTTCTAAAGCAGTTAGAGAGACAACAGACTCAACGTAAGTTGTAGTGTTTTTGGGCCGAGATATTTTTTAGGTAATTTTGCTTTATTAGAGTTTTATATTTGAATTACTAATAACTACAGTGCTGCATTCTTGGCTCTGCCTTTGCGCACAGAAGTTATTCTTGTGAAATTGAAAATTTGGAAGTTATAGGAATAATAGATCTACAGTACTCTGAACTGTCATAACGGACAAGTCGGTAAACTAGCAAAGTTTTATTCACTCTTGCAGTTGCGTATCCTTGAATTGCTATTGTCATCTGTAACATAAATAACGACAGTGAGTAAAGATTCACTGACTATATTTATTTGTGAGAATTTTCTTTTAACCCCCTGGCTGCCGAGTTTTTTTCAGGCGCACATTTTCATACGGTTTGAAAAGTGATCGTTGTGCGAGAATTGCGCTCGCGTGGTCCCTGGATCTACGTACGGATATAAAATTACACAGAAATGTAGAATATTAAATTTCCTATCCGTTGGTATAAATATAAGTGCAACTACCCCTCGGTTTGAGAAATAGACACTGCTAAATGTTGTCCAATTTTTTTTATGCGTTAAAAAACAGTAATTTTATCCGCTTTTTATCGCGCACCGATAAAAGCACTGTGCTACGAATTTTTTAATGTGGCATCTTTACGGAAAGTGTTAGCGAAGAAAATACAGCTTGATATCTGAACGACATAAGTGTATATGAATTGGGTTTATGTGCTTGTGCATAACGTTATACGCTCAACATTAAAAATGACTCGCAATAAATGTCAAAAATGGATTTTCTTCTATGACGTCAAACGACGACAGAGAGGTCATACACATATAATGATAAGGGGGCATAACTCCGTTATGCGTAACACTAGGTCCATGTAACTCAGATCACTTGGAGAGAATTTGTTGTGGATACGGACGCTATATTTTCGTTATTTTATGTTCATGGTGAACCAAACTATCCCAATTCAAAGTTCCCCAATGTGAGCGGATGCAGTTTGGTAGTTTCACAATTTACAAGAAAAATGACAACGTATTACATGTGAAAGCACGTAATAGTGATTTGGATGGCCCTATCCGATATATAAGTTAGTTCTTAGATTCCCATATTGTCCTGTTTGTGTAGATGTATTTTGACTAATTTTGCATCGTTATTACCAGAGTACTAGCCATATCTTCAAATGTAATGAAATTGCTGAAAATAATACACCATTTTAGTTGACGTCATTGCTTGTTTTATGCATTTTGCGACGTCGGAAAAAAAGACGACACTGGTATGCTGTTTAGTACATATCTCACCTAATTTCCTTTAATTGTGTGAAAGGTCTCGGCTTCTATGTCAGAATTTAAGCCTCTTTAGACAAAACATAAAATGACTGATTTTTCCATTTAAATAGTGTCCTGAATATATCAACAATTAGACAGTTTGACTGTGTATCTTTTGTGAGAAACACGCGCACCTGTTTGGCATCAATTTAACGTAAATGAAAAATAACATTTCACAACACCCGAATATTTTGTTTAGGATAAGAATTTTCTTTGTTTATGATTATGTAGCTATTTCTCTTCATAAGTATGCAATGGAAGATGCAAAAGATAGCTTTTATATATGGAATTAGTACGTACTATATATTAGAATATGGATGTAAGATTTGTCCAAATTAAGACATGACATGGTTTATATATTTTTAAACAATTTTCGTATAAATATAGTTAGAGTTTGATATCCTGTCATCACAATATTTTAAATCGAATATGAATTGATTATATTATCGAAAACAATGATAGTGAATCATAAAACGTTTCCGACAAACGCGCACCTGGCCAATCAATTTACATCATTGTTTTTTCTCTATAAAACCGACACACAAATGTGCAAAAAACAAGACAATTCCTTTAAATATGTGTGCATATACATTTCATACCATATATAAAAATCATTTTCATTAATATTATATCAGTTTTACTTATAAGGTTGAATTAAATCGCCGTTCATTAACCTGTTCATGTGAAACTGCAATATTAGAATCCAAATGCATTGAATATTGTACATCATCGGAACTAACGCAATTGCAGTTATGGCTACGTTTGATCTTCTAACACTTGTGTAAAGGTTTAGAATATGGTGTATTGCACTTAAATATGTCAATTTCCTATGTAAATATGATTCAAACAATCAAAAAACTTTCAAAGAATAAAACACCGTAAACCCTATACGCACGTATGATATGATATTGAACAAGGCTAAATGTGGATAATGAAGTCAGTTTCATGAAAAAGTATCTGAACTATACGCAAAATATACACCATAATACTGACAGTGTAATCGGAAGGATTGGGCGATTGTGTTTTACTCTTGTTCAACCGACCTTCACCTCAAAGAAATTGCCTAATATGTACAACAATGTTGACGTATGACATCACTACCGCTGACCGATTTCTTACAAAATGGCGGCTTTGCTGACAAGGGTATTTTACAGGATTTTGCGAGGACCCTTCCATTGATTCAGGGATCGTTTGTCCATAAATATGAGATGTAAGTAATCAGAATGATTCTGACTATCTGTGTATTGTTATATGTTTTTATCGTTTTCACTAAAAGTAAGAGAGAAAAGACAGAAATCCAGATAATTACCGTTGTCGTTCTGCGTGATTTTCCGTCAGTCATGGCGTCACGCTGCACGGAAACTTTGACAATTTCTTATGAATTATCAAATCATTGCATTGTATCTATTTATAATTTCCTACTTCTTGCTACGATACTCTTTCCATGCATATTCCAAAGGTATTGAGCCATTGCAAGCAATGAATAGACGGATGAATGTTGGAAAATTTCAGAAAATGCTACACAGTGTAAAATAGGTTTTTGTCTTTGTTTACATTTCGAACCAGCGCAGTCTTTCGAGCACAGCGTTCGTTTTCACACCAAATATGTTTCGTCTCATTTTATCTAGACAGTTTGCATTGGTGACAAAGACCACTTGCAGTTTGAGTCTAAAATGTATGGGGAGTTTATTGATGCATTTTTCGAAGCTGAATATGAAATATACGTGATGTAATATGCGTCTCAATACCGGCCTTCGCGAAACGTGATTTTGTAAACACTATCCAATATGGCGGAAAGCGCTCTACGGCGTTCGTGTAAGTGCATTTTCGAAAACATCCCAACCGATTCTAGATTCATCGGCAACGTTTCAGAATTTTACTTAGCGATTTCATGTAAAACTGATATGAGTGATCATGAATATGTTATTTTTGAAATTCAATACTCCCAGTAATTATCCGGTTTTCACATTTCAAAACATACAGCAAATAACGCTGTGAATCGCGATTTCGTACTGTGTCAAAAATGGCGACATTTTCGATGAAGCCTATTTTGAAAGGTCATTTTCAGCACTTGAACTTTGTCTAAAATAATAGTGGATGGTATCAAGAAACAGGAAATTTCCCGAAGAATTCGAAACTGTGAAGTGTATTTTGTGTGCGTGGGATATTTTGATTTTATTGGACTTGAAATTGAGGGTTGAAGGGGAAGGACATATATGTCCCTGTGGCATCCAGGGGTTCCGTTTTACATATATCTTCAAAACTGACGGTTGGGATGGGACATAAAATATATCCTGACTACCACGTTCCCTAAACTCCAACCCGTTACAGGCACATCAATGGGTAATGATTAACATGTGTGTGAAGTTTGGTGAACCTAGCATGTAAACTTTAAGAGATATGCTCCCGACAAAACCATCAAACACATTTGACACTAAGTCGTGTTTCCATGGAAACAGCAATAAAACAAAATTCTGAAAAAAAATAAAATAGCAAAAGGCACATCAATGGGTAATGATTAACATGTGTGTGAAGTTTGGTGAACCTAGCATGTAAACTTTTATGCTCCGGACAAAGTTTCGGGACGGACAGATTGAATGCTATATACCCCCGTTACGTC